CCCCACAAGCGGCACTTCTACACGTGCATTGGGTTGGTTGTCACAAACAACCCGACATCCTCAACCAGGAGAAACTGCCAGGACATCACGTCCTTCTCGAAGTACTTGTCTGCCAAAGACATACAGACACTGGGCAGCGATGCCACGTTGATCACCAAGCTCGAGGCTCTGGCCCATCGCTGTGCTCGTGTGGGCATCTCTAACCCAAGCGAGATCAGTGTGCGACAGATAATGGCATCTGGTCTGGTTTTTGGCATCCAAGCTGCCACCGACAAAGACAAGTTCGCTGTCGTGCAGGAAATCAAGCGGCTCATCAAGATCCAGGTGAAGCGGCGACCAAAAGCAGCAATGTATCTGGTGAAGTATCCCACCGACCCCCGGAACTTGCCGGAGGTGCTCTTTGCGGCTGGATACGATGCGGAAGACCCACCAAATACAACTGCGCCTGATGACACCGAGATCGCCAATGCAGCTCGCACGATCTCATTGAGAAGGTCGTCCAGGAGCATCCGAGGCAGTGGCTTGTTCGGCGATGCGGGCAACACCCTTGCTACGGCCGCTGCTCCAGCTGGGAACATGAACCCTTGGGGAAACATGATGAGTGGTCAGTGTGGGCCCATGCAACTTATGGGAAGCATGTTGCAGATGATGCAGAACATGACTGCGAAGAACAATCCCGAGCTCGACATCACCTACTTCAACCCGGCGGCTCGAGCCGGGAACCGGCTTGGATCTTCGGCTGCGGCAGTCCAGCCGAATCCTGCTCAGGCGGCACTCCCGCCCCCTGGTGGAAAGGAGGCGGCAACCCAGCCGAATGCAAACGAGTTGGCGATCACACCGAATATCGTTGAGGACCCCATGCCTGATGCCGAAGAGGTCGCCAATCAGGTAAAGGACAACAAGCGGCAGAGGGCTGAGGAGAAGAACGAGGAGAAACCCAATTCCAAGGCCAAAGCCAAGGCCAAAGCCAAGGCCAAAGCATCGGCCAAGGCCAAAGCCAAGGCAAAGGCCGTGGCAGCGGCAAAGGCCAAAACAAAGGCCGTGGCAAAAGCCAAGGCAAAGGCCGTGGCATGGAATGGTCGCCGACCCCCGGTTCCGCCTGAGGGAGCCCCCACGACGAAGTATAACGGCGGGAAGATTCATCGATCCGACACATTCTCGTTGTGGCGAGTCTTCATTCATGAGCAGGACAGGGTTGACAAGAAGATCAAGTTCGGCACGGACATGAAGGCCTCGTGGAAGAGGGCTTTGGATATGATCGACAGCGGCAAGTGAGCGATACTTTTGCAAATGTCGAGACACTTCTTAAGGTCCTGAGCTTTAGGGAGATCTATGGTTATATTATGTCCAAGGCTCATATATATATATATATATATATATATATATATACATCTGTAGATAAGATGTATCGAGGGAAGGTGTTTGCTTATACATATTTGTTTCTCTATAGTATATATACTTAAGCATTTATGTCTCTTTGTTGTGTAGATGCATATATATGTATATAGAGCCGGGCACATAAAGATTGGACCTGTGTATATATGTATATATATATATGCACTATATAGCATTTATATAGGGCTATATGGTTCAGATATATATGGCTATAGTTCTCAATAGCTCTTGACCTCCGACCGGGAACAGACTCCACAGTGGCAGTCGTTCCATCCATGGGCGCCAGACGAAAGGAGTTGTACATGACAGCTGCTTTTTTTTAGGCACTCTTTCGAGCGACCCGATGTTCCATGCATCCGAGGGGACAAGTGTTCGAGAAACATCGCATGTGTGTAGCCCTGCATGCAGAGTTAGAAGTGTTTTGCAGGGTGATTGTGTGTGAGTTTGCTGCATCACTGCACGGCGAGCCCGTGGCCCTGCCTTGTGCAATGCATGCATGGCGATGGCTTTGGCTGTGAGTATGTATATCATGCATGAAACATGACAACTCCACATTGCCGGTATATATATATATATAAGCCCATGCAGTGGATCGCACACACAGCATGACCAACATATAGATTGATTTATATATATATATATATAGGTACCCACTGCAGGGCAGTTTGCTCGCAGGGTGCCTGCATGCAATGTCGTTGGAAAAGCTTGGTCGCAAATCGTACATTAGCCAGAGAGGCTTGGCTGATGTTCTCACCGACCTGAAGGAATCCAAGCAGCCTTTGACGGCCACCTCGCGACAGTCCATCAAGCGAGCCCGAGACAAGGTGATCACACAGACCACTCCATATGGACCCGTCTGGGAGACTTTGCGCTTGCCCCGTGTTCCTGATGGCAAAGAGTCTAACAATGGCATCGATGTGCCGGTGCTTTGTTTGCCTGCATTCCTTCATCATGCATGTGCAAAACTCACTGGCTTCTCCCAGTTCTTTCTGCGACGGTTGCAAGAGTGCCCGTGCCGGTCGCCCAACGAAGCTTGGCGGGCCGCAATCTATAATGATGAAGTTGCACCCGGCAATCAGCTGAAGGGAAACAACAGCAGGAAAATTCAGGTCTGGTATATGGCATGGCTTGAATACGGCCAAGACCATCTTTTCTACGAAGAGCTTTGGATGCCTTTGCTCATGATCCGGAGCAATCTGGTGAAACTTGTAGAAGGAGGGCTGTCAGCAGTGACAGCCAGGCTTGTGCAACATTCATTCCGTGGTGTGCACAATTTGGAGAGCGGCATCCTTCTTTCTTTTCCCGGACACGAGGCTTGGAGTGCATTTCATTATATCTATTCGATACTGTGATATTGTATTTTGCTTTGCAAGAGTTTCGATATTCAATGGTTCCTATATATAGCCGAGGACAGCCGAATGTTCTTCGGCAAGCCAACTGTTCTGCTAGCAGACGAAAGCGCCCTCAAGCACATGCTAGACACGAAAGGTGCATCGGGCACAGTCCCATGCACTTTTTGTGCCAATGTTGTCAGCAAGCGGACAGAAGGGGACTCCGACGATTTGCTGACGATCTGCAGCACAGACGTGGCCCGCTTCAGAATGCGGAGTGACGAGGCTTTGTTCAAGGCTGCAGAACACCTCGTGGACCAAAGCACGAAGCTATCGAATGCGAAGCTGGCCGAACTTGAACAAGCCATGGGCTTGAACACCAATCAGTTTGGCCTTCTCGCAACCCGATGCCTGGGAGCATCCAGTTGCATGTTCGACTGGATGCACATCTATTTAGTGCATGGAGTAGCTCATGCAGAAGTAAATTGCATCCTAGAGCGAATGGTGGCTGTTAAGATTCCGAGCACACAGCTGCACGACTTCTGTGATGGCCTGCAATTTCCCAAAGCTGATGCCTGGAAGAAAAAGGAGGTCATGAGCATGTTCACTTCCAAGAAGATCAGTCCAGGCGACTTCAAGGCTGCAGCCAGCACGTGCTTGTGTTTCTATCCCTTGCTGCGATTGTTCTTCATGTCCACACCAGAAATCGTGGCAAGGATGACAGAGGAGGCCAGAAGTTACTCGCATCTGTGTGCTGTGCTGGACTATCTCGCCCAAGCAAACAGGGGCGAGACACGGTTGCAGGCAGGGAAGCTGCAAACCTTGATCCAAACGCATTGCGAGCACTTCGTCAGAACATACGGGGAAGGGCCGATCACCCCCAAGTTTCACATGACGATGCATTTACCCTTCATGCTGAAGAAATTCGACCAGTTGGTGGCATGCTTCACTCACGAGCGGAAGCATAAACATATCAAAAGAATCGGCGACCAGCTGCATTCCTCCCAGCTGGCCTTCGAGGCCAGTGTGGCTCACGACATCTGGTTCGACCATTTCCAGGACTATGCCGACTTGAGCTTGGACAATGGCCCTGCACTGGTTGGCAGGGACAAAGCTGCAGAGCCAATCCTAAAGCATGAGCTGCTCAAGGTATTCGGCATCGCCGATGCAGATGTGCACCCGAGCCAAAAGTGCTGCATCAAGCCTGGCACAACCATTGCACGAGGAGATGTGGTGGTGATGCATGGTGATGTCGTGGGGGAGCTGTGGCTCAACTTCCGACTGCATGGCGAGCACTGGCGCATAGTCAGTATCTACGAAGCGATGGGCCGCAATGTCTTTGCTGTCGCGGAAAACCCGCTTTTTGTGAAGGTTTCCAGTGTTCGCTCGGCATGCATCTTCCGCAGGGAGGGGCATGACAAGGTCAGGATCGTGCCGTGAATGGCCATGGAGCTGCTAAAAAAGATTGCAGCTTCGCCTGCATGCATGAACTTTCGTGTGAGTTTGCTGCATGCACTGCACGGCGAGCCCGTGGCCCTGCCTTGTGCAAGTGCTTACATTTTGCAGTTATGATACACTTATAAGTGAGCTAAGTACACTTAGCTATTTATGCTAACTTAGATACATAAGTACACTTATCACGTTTATATATCTTGCTTATTTGCACTTGTCTATTTCATATAACATGTCTATGTACTTAATAACCACCATACCTACATAATAACCCCAGCGGGCCGCCAAGTTCCCAGTCTTCGCAGCGGTCGAGCTGGTCTTGAAACCTTGAGCCAACCAGACACTCGGTGGGAGGTACTTGCCACCCACGGAGACCTTCAGGGCAGTCACCCGCTCTCTGGAGAGGCTCTCCACCAGGTGGGTCTCCAAGGTCTGCCAGTTCGAGTCGCCCGAACTCTTCGAAAAGAAGTTCTGGCGCTCGCTGTCGCTGAGAGTCAGCAGTGGCGTCCAGGAGCCCACGTGGCGCCACAAGCAGTGCTCCGTACGTCTGCAGGCCTTGCAGACCTTCTTCCTCCAGCGACCAGTGAGGTCGGAAGCCGGGAAGGACTTGCCACAGTTGTGGCAGGTGCCGTGTCCGCACGGCTGCGTCTCCGCTTCTCCAGCACTGAGCTCCTCGAACTCGTGCTCTGGAGTCTCCGCCTGGGTGGCCATTGCTGGCAGGCGGTGCTAAGGGCAGGCGGCAAGAGCTAAAGACTTGGAGCCGTGGCAGCTACGGATGTCGGAGCGAAATCTGCATGGGAACTGCGCTGTGCAGTTTAAAGAAATTAGCGAGCTGTATGCTGCAGTCTCCCTACAGCCCTGAGCTCTCCAGCGACCTCTCACTTGGACTCGGAAGCTTCAAAATCGCAGGCCGGAGGCTTTAGGTGAAACTAAGGTGAACTAAGGTGGAGGCCTGGGCTCAACCTGGGCCACTTCAAAGGCAGGTGGTCCGATTGGTAGGACTGGCTGGATATGAGAGGGTTAAGGTGGTAAGGTGGTGAGCTGCCTGCTATCTGGGAGGGTTAAGGTGGTAAGGTGGTGAGCTGGCTGAAGGTCTCCCTGCTATCTGGGAGGTTAAGGTGGTAAGGTGGTCAGTTGGCTTAGGTCTCCCTGGGAGCCCTGAGGGGTCAGGTGGTTTTAAGGTGGTGACTGTGCTGCAGACTGCCTGGAGAAGCTTTTTCGATCGGACTCTGATGCCTGGAAAAGCAAGAATCCAGAGTCTCAAGACTACAGCTAGGCTGCGGCAGGCCTGCTCATCACATATACAACTTAGTCCAAGAGATCCAAAGAATCAGCACGGAGCTGCTGCAGCTCTGGCTGCTGCTGCAGGACTTGGAGCACGAGGGCGGCTCCATCTCTGCAGACGGAGAAAGCGATCTGAAACTCTCGCCCCAATCTCATGCCGAAGTACTGCGGCACGATTCCCAGGGTCAAGCGAAGCTCTCGAATGCGACACTCAAGCTGTAAGTCGGGCGCAGTCTGCAGCCAGGACTCCACATCAGTCTCGGGCTCTCGCGGGACGAAAGCCGCTCCACATACGGTTCTTGTTGGTGCAGCTGTCGAAGAGCTGCTCCCACATGGTCCGCAAGCAGGCCAACACGCCGATGCACTTAGCAAGCACGTCTCGATTGCCCACCGATCGGAACTGCATGATGAAGTAAAGGGTTTCACGAACCAGCTCCAGCTCATGGTCGAGCCACTTCTCGGGCGGAGGCACAGGCGGCTCGCCTTCACACGGCTCCAAGAGCCGCTTCCGCAGCTCGCACAGCTCGCATCTTGAGAAGCCCGCCATTCTATATAGGGCTGCAGGCTTGCAAGCAGGAAGCAGGAGCCAGCAGCTGCGGGCACTTAAAGTTGCCGGCCATGTGACCGTTCGGATGAAAGGCTGAGGGTCTCTGGCCGTATTCCAGGACTGTATAGGTTCTATAGAAGGGTCTCTACTATATGTTTATATAAGGGTTTATGGTCCAGGACTATCGGGCTCATGGGGTTTAGGGTTTAGGGGCCTATATATAAACGGCCTAAACTCTGCAACAGAAGCCCTCTACAGAAACCCTACCCTTCCAAGCCTAAACCCTGCACAAACCCGAAACCGAAACCTGCCGAAAGAGCCCTGGACCCTCACCCCACCCAAGCCCGCGGCGACCCAGAGTTTTTTTTCAGCGAGCGGACGGCAGCAGTGTTGCAGGAAGAGCTCGCTAGCTAAGGCTGCAAGAGAGAGGAGCTTCAGGGTGCTTTAGGGGTTTTAGGGTTTTAGGGCTTATATATATATATATATATATATATATATATATATATAGGGTTCGGGTTTAGGGGTTCGGGCTTATATAGCTTGAGGGTGAGGGCTTAGGGTTGAGGTGTTGCTTCCGTGCTCCGTTTCTCACAGCATGCCATGCACGTGCAGGCAGCGGATGCATGCGGATGGCTCACCATCAGCCGCGAAGCAACGCCGAGATGGTGTCCTGCCACATGGCGCGCATGAGCGCACCGGTCGCTCCGCCGCCGCTGCCGCCGCTGCCGCCGCTGGCGCCGCGGCCGTCTTTGTCTTGGCTGCGGTCGCGGCCCACGACAGGGCTGCTGCTCTTCCGCGCTTTCTTGTCGCGGCGGCTCTTGCGGCTGGACTCGCGGGAGCGCTTGCGGCGGGAGTCTCGGGAGCGCCTGCGGCCGGAACGGCTGGAGTCAAGGCTTCCGGGACGTCACTCTCCGGGTCCGCGAGCTCGCCGGCGATCCATGCCTGGTGCTCGGCCGCGCCTCGGCGCTGGGCTTCCGCCCACGGGCGGACGCCTCGAGCCCAAGCTCGGAACGACAAGCAGTAGCTGGACCTTCTGTGACTCCGAAAGCCTGCCACCGTAGGCGTAAGCCATGAATGACATCTCTTGCACATAAATGTGCGCTTGGCGGCATTCCGTCTGCCACGAGCCCGCTTGCTCGCCGGCTCCTCCTCCGAGACTTTGTCTGCCTGCGTCGGCTTGGAGGCAAGCAGACGCCGGCGGAGCTCCTGCTCACGGGCGGTCCCGCTGTCGGAGACGCAGGTCTGCGAGACCCAGAGACCTCGGGCTCCTGTCCCTCCTTGAGCTGCGGCGGCGGCGCCGCCTGCTGCGGCTCCTCCCTCTGCTGCGGGACTTCTTCTTCTTTTTTTTCTTTTCCTTCTCCTTTTTCTTTGGCTTCTCGGTCTCCTGCCTTTCAGGCATCTCCGGCCTTTCAGGCTTCTCCGGCCTTTCAGGCCTCTCCACCTGCAGCGACCTCTCGCAGGGCCCTCCAGGCCTCGGAGGCTTCTCAGGGGAGCAGTCGCTCCGGGGGCGACCGCAGCCGCTTGTCCGGGACCGAGCGCTCCGCCACCGGCTGTGGCTCCTCCTCCTCGCTCTCTTCCTCGCTCTCTTCCTCGAAGACGTCGGCAGCCGCAGCTGCCTTCGCACCACTGGGCGCTTCCGCCGCCCTTCGCCTGTCCTCCTCCTCATCGTCGCCCATGGCACCTGCGAGCAAGGAGAGGAGAGGCTATATTATATATATATATATATATATATATATATTATATTACTTTATATAGGGGGTATATATATATATATATATATTATATTTTTTCTTTTTCTATATATATACTCACAAAGCAACGGCCGTGGCCAGGCTGCTCGCAGCGGCGGCCGTAGCCAGCCCACTGCATGTCGCAGCCTGCAGCGGCGGCCGTAGCCAGCTCGCCGCATGGATGTCGCTGCAGCAGCGGCGGCCGTAGCCAGCTCGCTGCACGTCGGAGCTTGCAGCGGCGGCCGTAGCCAGCTCGCTGCACGTCGGAGCTTGCAGCGGCGGCCGTAGCCAGCTCGCTGCGGCAGACTGCAATGCCGGCCGTAGCCAGGCATACTGCGACGAGCTTCTGCAGCAGCCGTATAGCCTGCTCGCAGAGCTGCATGCAAGCGGCCGAAGCCTGCTTCATGTATATATATATATATATATATATATATATATAATTATATAAGTATATATATATATATATCTTTAGGGTTTAGGGTTCTGGGGATTTTAGGGTTTAAGCGGGACGGGCCTTCGCGGTGCCCTGCAGGGCTGGCCCCGCCCCTACCGGCAGAGCCACACGGCTGCGGATGCGGCAGTTCCTGCTTTCGGTTTAGGGTTCTGGGTTCAGGGTTTAGGGTTCAGGGTGCAGGGTTCTTATATATATATATATATATATATATATAGGGTTATATATAGGGTTCAGGGTGCAGGGTTTAGGGGTTTAGGGTTTAGGGTTTCGAGGATACTGCAGCGATCTCTGGCAGCCTCGCTTCGTTTCTCTCTCCCTCTGAGCTCGGTTTGCTATCTGCCTGCACTACAAAACTAGACGGCATGATGCTCTGCATCGGATGATGGAAGCCGGATGCCTCAGCATAAGGAATGCTGTTTGAGGTACGTTGCGAAGCAAGACAACGTGCAACCTCTCTTGTGTCTGCATTTGGAGCAACCGTTCGGTCGCATGCGGACGCGGTCCTGCCACGTGAGACCCGGCACCTCTTTGATGCTCCGTCCACTGCTCGTCGCAGAAGCAGGTCGCTTCAAGGCAGCAGCAGGCTTACCTTTGCTGTGTGCTTTGGCCTTCGCCTTGACTTTAGTCTTGGCCTTTGCTTTGGCCTTGGCCTTTGCAAAGGCCTTGGCCTTTCCTTTAGGCTCGCTGCCTGGCCCCAAGCTCTCGGAAGCAAGGCTGTCTTGCTGGGGAACTTTGGCCTCTGCCACAGCGTCGGCGGCCTTTTCTGCTGCTTCCTGTTTCCCTGTCCCAAAGCCGACCTGAGGTTGTCCAGCTGTTCTGGCAGCTGCGAAGCTGCCAGAGGAGCCTGTGTTTCCTCAAGCCGGGGTGCCTCCTCGGCAGTTTCGGGCGGAGCATCGCACAAGGCCAGCATCGGCCGCGACGGCATCCTTACCAAGGGTCCAGCAGCAGACCCCGCCGCAGCGGTGGCTCCGACAGACGCAGCACCAGCCTGTGGACCATGCGTAGCAACAAAAGTCGCCATCAGCGCCGTTGCTGTGGTGGCCATTGCCTGCATTGGATCCACCGGCACCTGCGGTGGGGCTGCTTTGTCCAGCACCTTGTCCCCAGACTTTCGCACGGAAATCTGCGATGCCGTAAAGAGCAAGAGCTCCTTAGAGATCTTACCTTCGCAGGGCGTCTCGGAACCGTACACTTCAGCATAGAACTGCGAGGGCAGCTCTAGCGGAGTCTTGGGCAGCTGCAACAAGAAAACCGAAGGTTCAGGTAGGCCCTCCAGCTGCTTGCGGATTGCGGGCTTCAGCTTCGTGATTTCCGAGTAAGCTTTCGAGGCGTCCGGCACTTGTAGACCGAGGACCAGATGCATGAAGCAGTACATCGTCCCAAAAGTCCACTCCGAGGGATACCTCAAACCCAACTGAGCCAGCATGCTCACCAGCATGCTGCAGCCGGAGGACACAGAGCCGGAAGCCTGCAGCGACGTCCACTGCGAAGGCTTCAAGAAACCCAAGAAGTTCTGAAAGTCTTGCGACTTCGGGCCACGCTTGCCCGGGTCCTCCTTCGCTTCCTCTGTCTGCAGACGCTGCGACACTGCCACCCGCAGTGCATCGATCTGCTCAGGGGTCCAGCAGTTCTCGTCCATCATCTGAAAAATGCTGTTAGCATCTTTCAAGTTCAGCACTGAGGTTTTCTTCAGCACCGACAGCAAAGCCACCTGCTGTTTGTCTCGCAAGGCATCGAAGTTTGGAAGCTTCGACACCTGCTTCAGGAAGCTCTGCGCAGCTTCGAGCTGCTTGCACACGGCCGCCATGCCGCCAACCCTACTTTGAGCCGAAAAGCAACGACTTTCAGTGTCTCCATAACAAAAGTATGGCTTATGAAGAAAAAACCTATCTCATCCTAAGTTTCCCTAAGTTTTTCTATGAAACGACTAAAATAACTTATAAGTCACCTGTAACTCACTTATAATTACTTACGATTCATGAAATTTATAACAATTACTTATAACATACTTAGCAGCAATGATGAGTGACTTAAACAAAATTCAACCTAACTTATAATCACTTATAAGTCCTTCTAAGTTACGGGGCGACGTAGGTATGGCCAGGGGGACACGCGCCGCAGGCATCTTCAGCACTTGCAAAAAGACATCGAGCGCCCCCCCCACTTTAATGCACGACAGACTGCGAAGGGAAAGATCCCAGCTGCAAACGTGATCAGGTTGCGGGGGGGGCCCCAAGGAAAGAGGGCCACTGGCGGATGAGCAGGAGGGCAGCCGTGGGGTTGAGGCGGTTTTGGCGTCGCTCTGCCTTGCGTTGCTCGCGGGTTTTTCCACGGAGCTTTTCAGGAACTACCAGTTCTACAAAGATGTGCCAAAGCTGAGACAGTCCTTCACCTTCCAATCGGTAGCGCCTGGGCGAAGCGTCAGGTGGTGTCCTGGTGCGACATCCGCCGACGAACGGCAGAGCTCTTAGCGGGTACTCCGCTCTATGGTGCGCAGGCCCGACACAGCGGAGATGTTGTCACTGCTTGGGTGTACGTGGGAGCCGTCTTACAGCTGCCTCACTGGTACCCTAACGACCAGGGCTGCTTCAGTGCAAGCATGAAGACCCCCAACCCCGATGACTCACTACGGGAAGTCTCAAATCCGCACGAGGAGACTTGGGAAGCCAAAGGGGCCCACGAACAGTGTGCTAACTCCACTCTCTTCGCCTTGAGCTCGAGCCACTGCCGGGTGTGCAGCCTGCCGGGGCCCTACCTCTTCATGGCCAAAACGCTTCCCCCGCATCGCAGCTGCGTGGGCCGGCGTTTGTGCACGGCTATGGAGCCAACGGCAAGGCCCCGTTGGCACAGCTGGAGCGTCTCCGCTCTTTGCCTACCCTCGCCAAGCTCTGGTGGGCAGTATCGGGTCTTGCCTGATGGCGGCCCCGGTTGTCGCCCCATAATTTGCGAAGGAGGACACCCACCAGGCCCGCCGTGTAGCTGCCTGCAGAGAAGCTAAATGGATGACCGGCAGGGGGCAGGAGGCTAGCATGGCGACCCGTGGCGCTGAGCCGCGACGGAACCGTTGCCGACACCTTGGAACATGTCTCCGCGAGGCACCCCGTGAGGCCGTAGCACTGTGTGGAACACATGAGCTGCCAAGCATCGTTGCGAGCCGGGGTGCAAAATGTACTGGCGCCAGACGCACCTCAGGGGACGTCGAGGGGCTGCCCCCACCCTGACGCTCGTCCTCATCTGCATGCGCCATGTCGAACGCTCTATAAAAACAAGAACATGATCGCTCGTAGTCGGAGACGTCTAGGGCCTAGGGTTATCATTTCCTCCCCGCAGGAGAGCGGACACCGCCGCCACCCGTTCCAACTCCGTTTCCCACCCGTGGGCTTGCCCGCCGCCTCCGGTGGAGTGGCAGCTGATGCTGCGCTGCCAGCAGCCGTGGACATTGGGGCCGTTGGCATGCCAGATTGGCTCTTCGCGGAAGTCTTGCGCCTCCCGTGCCGGTTGCGCATCTTCCATGCCAAGACTTTTTGTGCTCTTGGGTGCCCACAGAGTTTGCGCGGGCCGCCATACGGGCCGCCCCAAGTATACTTGCCGGAGGGATGCATTGGTTGTTCAATGTGCCGGACGAGCTTTTTGGGCCTCAGTGTCACAACTACTCCCACTTGCTCCTCCGTGCCAACCTAACCCTGCCGGCCCAGATGGATGTTACCGCCGCACGTGCCTTCCTCCCTTACGTAGCCTGGAGAAAGAACTGGAGTGGGCCTTCCACTCCCTGCACTTCTACCGTAGTCGGGGTCTTGTAGATAGTGAGGTTGGAAGGGTTATGGCTGCCCTCTTCCCGCACCGCGTCACTGAGAAGTCGCTCAAGCGTTGTCCCTGGACTTGCCGCCACGTCTCCTCGAGGCTGTCCGCACCGTCACGGCAGCTTCCCTGCCACATTGTGTTGCGGAGCTGCGCTCCTGGATCATTCAGGAAGTCAGGCTCAGATGCAATGAAGAAGAGAAGTCGGTCAACCTGCCATTGCCCGCTCCTGTGCAGACTTCCCTTGGCGATGATTCCCCTCTGAGTCGGCTGGTTCAGCTCCCCACCAGCGGTGTCCCGCCCACTCTGGTTGAGGGACTCTCATGCTGCTCACCATTCATGCAGGCCTGGGAACAGAAGAGACAGCCTTCCGGCCTGCGGCGTGGAAAGCGCGGCCCACCGTGTGGTGGATTTTCTGCACTTTCATGTTTACAGCCAGGGCGCTGCTCTTGAGGAGCTCACGGGGCCTGGGATGCGGCAGCGTCACCAGGTGTGCAAGCTTCGACAGAAGGAGTGGGACAACCTCCGCGGCCCAATCCGCCAGCACCGTCGGGGACAGCCCATACCGGCGGCAGAGTTGCGAGTCCCCAATTGTGCTCCCTTCACCATCGCTCTCACAAGCGTCCACAAAGGCCTGCCAGGACCCTGTACCGCGCATGTGTTGTGGCAAAATACCAACTTCCGTATGAAGTCGGCCTGGCTCCTTAGCAAAGACTGAGAACCCTCCCTGGGCGTCCGTGGAAGGCTCTGTGACAAATATTACACCCACGGATTCGCGTGAGCGCCGACAGCAAGGACTGCCTTGGGCAGGTACAGTGGGCGCAAATGACCATACCGTATCGTCCAGGGCAGGCATGCCAGCGCCAGAGGAGGCCTGTAGATCCTGCGTGTCAAGGCACAGATCTTGCAAGTCAGCAACCTCGAAAAGCGCAGTCGGGGCCGCATCGTGATCCGACAAGATGATATGTTTGCCCGGGAGCAAGGCTTTAAGCACCCATAGCGCGTAGACCTTGCCCCACCAAACCACTGCCCGATGCAAGCCCGTTTCCTGCCGTAGCGGGAAGAAGACACAGGCGTGCCGTTCGTCATGCCGGCCAGTCCAGCAACAACGGTTGAGAATGTGAGGCAGAGTGTGACGGGTGTGGTCATACTCCTCCAAGGAGTCTGTGTCCGTGAAGAGCCACAGGGTGTGACAACGCTGCTCTCCTCGATCGGGGTACGTCGCGTCCAGGCTGACCGAACACTCAGACGGCTAACCAGGAGGCCCACCAAGCTGCGCCCTGCCCTGGGCTCGTGCGAGCAAACAATCACCGGCAAGCTGCAGCAGAGGGCCATGAAGTCGAAGGCCTCCGCAATCGTCACAAGGTAACCCACAATGGAAAAAGGAGAATCGTCCGTTTGCAGTGGGTCACCTTGCTGCATGAAGTACCACAAGACGCCGAGAGTTCAGTGAAATCAGGTGCGTCCACGAAGCTCGGCAGCACCTGCACCAGCAAGTATCCCTCGTACATTTGAAGGTGTAAGTGCTCCAGCCCCGAGAGTGCATGCTGAATGGACGCCACAGCCAGAGAAATTGGCCGATGAATTTCTGTGCGCACGCCACTGACCACGGGGTGCGTGTGGCGTGTGGAACAATTTGACAGCCATGGCGCAGTAGACTGCCTGCGACGTATGTCGCCGTCTGAGCCCCGACGCAATCCAAAGTGACTGCTCACGGTTGCTGCCAGGGAAAGCGCCCGCTAACACCAAAGTGTTCCTTTTTGAACCGCGCGCCGTCCTCCAGTCACATCGGGTGACCCTCTGACATGATGCACAGTGTGTTCACATTGTTTAAAAAAGGGGGGGAGGCCTGGAGAACTGAGCCCGGCTTGTCCCGGCCAGAACCACAGACCGTCATGAAACACATGTCACCCCAAGTAGAAAGTTTGGTCACAGTCTCGTGTCCCGCCTGCCAGTTATATGGTGCAGCTGGATCACAACCAGATTGGCGCGCATGCCCACCGCCGCATATCTATGTCACTCGGGGTAAGCTGAAACTCGGGGTCAGCCGTCAATGTCGAAGTGACAGAGGTCGCCATAGCGAACGTTATTGTGCTGGTCCAGGCGTTTCCACACCAAAGACAAGGCAGGGGCCGCCATCGCAGGAGCAGAGCGGAGGCAACGCGGTCGCGAGACACAAGTGAAGGTACTAGCGACGTATGTCGCCGCAAGTCTGAGCCCAATTGGCATGCATGCAAGCGAGGTGAGAGCAATGTGAGCAATGGACCGAGCAGGAGCGGGCGTTTTGCTCGCGATAGGTCACGGTGGCGAACCACTCCGTTGGCCTGACGTCCTTCACTCGTTGCCCTCGCGGATGGAAAGTCTGGTAGCCATGCCGCATGGCTTCCCCTCGTGCGGGATACGGCGTCCGCACGGATCATCAGGAAGAAATTTCACCCATGCCCGGCGAATGTGCCTTTCAGACCGCGCAGTTCGCCCCCCGCTGAGATGCTAGGGTCGCGAAAGTGACAAAGAGCGGGTCGAGGACCGCAATGGGACGGTGGTGGTGGACCGAGCGATTCAAACGCTCAAGAAGGATCTGGCGGGCAAGATGGCGGCTCGGAACGGTGGAGCTGGAGCGACCATATGGAAGAGGCGGCGGAAGCTTGCAATGCCGGGCATGCGGCCGTAACGGTAGCTCCGAAGGATGTAGGACGATGCCGGCTGCGAGCTTCCGGCTGTATCAAGACAATGCTCAAAAGTTCAAGCACAATGACGAGCTGACGAGAAGCCGAGGAGGCGGTCCAGGGCCCCACCAATGCAGCGAGGAGCTTGCAGCCCCAGTTCGGAGCGGTGTGTGAGGTTTCGAGCAACGATTCGATGACGGTGCGAGCCACCGACGGTTCGGAGACTCTGCTGAAGTTTGCGCTTCCGGTGCTTCCGCGGCTCCGCGGAGCGAGATTTCAATTCCGAACCACGGCGCCGCGTGATCGCTTCGATCCCCATCCCCGTCCACGACACGTAGGGCGG